CATGTTTCGTATAATGACAACATCTGTTCTTGAGTCTTCAATTGCTAATTCAATTTTAGTGGCAGTCTCTTCGTCTGCCATATTATGTTCACTACCAGTAATATTGCAATGGACGACCTTATGTTTTTTCATTGCCGCCTGTGATGGGAAATATGTACAGCAGAAACATATTCTCTTGGAAATTCTTCCAGCCACCGATGGACAATAGGGATCAAAAGGCATGCTACTGTAACTGTGATCGGGCAGTAAATTTGCAGTAAATTTATGCAAAACTGCTGCACTCAAAAAAACACTACAATGTGGACATCCACTTTGTCCTAAACCCCCTCACCCCCTTTGTCCACTTTAGTCCACTTTTTGCTGAACCCCCCCTCCCCCCTTTTGTGTGGACGTCTTTTATGGATGACCCCTATTCACTTGACTAGTATAGTCCAAAATTCGGTGAATTAATCACTTGACCAGCATAGTCCAAAATTGGGTGAATTAATCACTTGACCAGCATAGTCTAACATTGGGTGAACTATTCACATGACTATTTTAGTCCAAAATTGGGTGAACTAATCACTTGACCAGCATAGTCTAACATTGGGTGAACTATTCACATGACTAGTATAGTCCAAAATTGGGTGAATTATTCACTTGACTAGTATAGTCCAAAATTGGGTGAACTAATCACTTGACCAGCATAGTCTAACATTGGGTGACCTAATCACTTGACCAGCATAGTCTAACATTGGGTCAACTAATCACTTGACCAGCATAGTCTAACATTGGGTGAATTAATCACTTGACCAGCATAGTCTAACATTGGGTGAACTAATCACTTGACCAGTATAGTCCAAAATTGGGTGAATTAATCACTTGACCAGCATATTCTAACATTGGGTGAACTATTCACTTGACTAGTATAGTCCAAAATTGTGTGAATTAATCACTTGACCAGCATAGTCTAACATTGGGTGAACTATTCACATGACTAGTTTAGTCCAAAATTGGGTGAACTAATCACTTGACCAGCATAGTCTAACATTGGGTGAACTATTCACATGACTAGTATAGTCCAAAATTGGGTGACCTAATCACTTGACCAGCATAATCTAACATTGGGTGAACTAATCACTTGACCAGAATAGTCTAACATTCTGTGAATTAATCATGTAACTAGCATAGACAAACATTTGGTGACCTAATCACTTGATCAGCAAAGTCTAACATTGGGTGACCAAATCACTTGACCAGCAAAGTCTAACATTGGGTGAACTAATCAGGTAACATAGCTTTTGGGCGTATAAAAACCTAATTCTAAATTTTGGCATTCGACCATTTTTTGTTGTTGCAATCACAAATTGTGGTGAAAATCCTGATATCAAGTACTTTTAAATGTAGAACATGATAGAGATCTCAAGTACTTTTAAATGTAGAAAATGATAGAGATCTCAAGTACTTTTAAATGTAGAATATGATAGAGATCTCAAGTAATTTTAAATGTAGAACATGATAGAGATCTCAAGTACTTTTAAATGTAGAGCATGATAGAGATCTCAAGTAGTTTTAAATGTAGAACATGATAGAGATCTCAAGTACTTTTAATGTAGAACATGATAGAGATCTCAAGTACTTTTAAATGTAGAGCATGTTAGAGATCTCAAGTACTTTTAAATGTAGAGCATGATAGAGATCTCATGTACTTTTAAATGTAGAGCATGTTAGAGATCTCAAGTACTTTTAAATGTAGAACATGATAGAGATCTCGAGTACTTTTAAATGTAGAACATGGTAGAGATCTCAAGTACTTTTAAATGTAGAACATGATAGAGATCTCAAGTACTTTTAAATGTAGAGGATGATAGAGATCTCAAGTACTTTTAAATGTAGAACATGATAGAGATCTCAAGTACTTTTAAATGTAGAACATGATAGAGATCTCAAGTACTTGTAAATGTAGAGCATGATAGAGATCTCAAGTACTTTTAAATGTAGAACATGGTAGAGATCTCAAGTACTTTTAAATGTAGAACATGATAGAGATCTCAAGTAATTTTAAATGTAGAATATGATAGAGATCTCAAGTACTTTTAAATGTAGAACATGATAGAGATCTCAAGTACTTTTAAATGTAGAACATGATAGAGATCTCGAGTACTTTTAAATGTGGAACATGGTAGAGATCTCAAGTACTTTAAAATGTAGAACATGATAGAGATCTCAAGTACTTTTAAATGTAGAACATGATAGAGATCTCAAGTACTTTTAAATGTAGAGGATGATAGAGATCTCAAGTACTTTTAGATGTAGAGGATGATAGAGATCTCAAGTACTTTTAAATGTAGAACATGATAGAGATCTCAAGTACTTTTAAATGTAGAACATGATAGAGATCTCAAGTACTTGTAAATGTAGAGCATGATAGAGATTTCAAGTACTTTTAAATGTAGAACATGATAGAAATCTCAAGTACTTTTAAATGTAGAGCATGATAGAGGTCTCAAGTACTTTTAAATGTAGAACATGATAGAGATCTCAAGTACTTTTAAATCTAGAACATGATAGAGATCTCAAGTACTTTTAAATGTAGATCATGATAGAGATCTCAAGTAATTTTAAATGTAGAGCATGTTAGAGATCTCAAGTACTTGTAAATGTAGAGCATGATAGAGATCTCAAGTACTTTTAAATGTAGAACATGATAGAGATCTCGAGTACTTTTAAATGTGGAACATGGTAGAGATCTCAAGTACTTTTAAATGTAGAACATGATAGAGATCTCAAGTACTTTTAAATGTAGAACATGTTAGAGATCTCAAGTACTTTTAAATGTAGAAAATGATAGAGATCTCAAGTTTTTTAAATGTAGAACATGATAGAGATCTCAAGTACTTTTAAATGTAGAACATGATAGAGATCTCAAGTACTTTTAAATGTAGAACATGATAGAGATCTTGAGTACTTTTAAATGTAGAACAAATTAGAGATCTCAAGTACTTTTAAATGTAGAGCATGATAGAGATCTCAAGTACTTTTAAATGTAGAACATGTTAGAGATCTCAAGTACTTTTAAATGTAGAACATGATAGAGATCTCAAGTACTTTTAAATGTAGAACATGATAGAGATCTTGAGTACTTTTAAATGTAGAACAAATTAGAGATCTCAAGTACTTTTAAATGTAGAGCATGATAGAGATCTCAAGTACTTTTAAATGTAGAACATGTTAGAGATCTCAAGTAGTTTTAAATGTAGAACATGTTAGGATCTCAAATATTTTTTATTGTAGAACAGTTGTTATAGGGTAGAAATATATTTCTGTCACAGTTGTCACAGAGTAGAAATATCTTTCTGTCACAGGGTAGAAATATATTTCTGTCACAGGGTTGAAATATCTTTCTGTCACAGTTGTCCCAGTTGTCACAGAGTAGAAATATCTTTCTGTCACATGGCAGAAATATATTTCTGTCACAGGGTAGAAATATCTTTCTGTCACAATTGTCACAGGGTATAAATATCTTTCTGTCACAATTGTCACAGGGTATAAATATATTTCTGTCACAGTTGTCACAGAGTAGAAATATCTTTCTGTCA